TGCCCAGGATGAGATTAACATTATGGATTCCTATTTAACACAGATATACTGTAAGTTTTTTAGCTAATTACAGTGGGTATAAGCTCAATTTAACAGCACACGCACCTATTAAACATATTGGCATTATTATTGTATAAATATAGGCTAAGGCTAGGCTATATTTTTTGTGCAGAATAATCCTTGAAACATTTCTCATTTAAGGTTTGGAATATGTGATTGAGTTTTGATATAGCCTACATGTGAACAATAATCATATACATTCTGCATTTCCATTTTGTATATGGATCATAAAATTTAAACTGTCATCTTGACAAAAAAATGTATGCCACTGCCCACTGACATGCTTTTAAAGCTATAGTTATCCAATTTTTGGGCCTTAAAACACCTTAAAATGCACATGTGTAGATCAAGAACATCAAAAATCCCTCGGGGGGGCATGCCCCCCAACCCCCCTAGCAAGATCACTTTTGGGACCTCAGTAGGCTATTTAGAAATTCCTGCATAGGACCCTGGGTGGAGACCATTTGTGCAAAAATATTTTATTAGCCGCTCACAGACAGACAGACAGACAGACAGACAGACAGACAGACAGACAGACAGACAGACAGACAGACAGACAGACAGACAGACAGATAGATAGATAGACAGATAGACAGATAGATAGAGAGATAGATAGAGAGATAGATAGAGAGATAGATAGAGAGATAGATATAGAGAGATAGATATAGATAGATAGATAGATAGATAGATAGATAGATAGATAGATAGATAGATAGATAGATAGATAGATAGATAGATAGATAGATAGATAGATAGATAGATAGATAGATAGATAGATAGATAGATAGATAGATAGATAGATAGATAGATAGATAGATAGATTTTATGAATGAAGATTTTAATCTTCATCGTTTCATTCTTTTTTTATTTTCTTGGTTATTTAAAGCATTTCAGTGGTTTATCGAAATACTTACAGATCTGAGTAGCTTTATTTCATCCAGAGCTGTTTCAGTGTAATGCTCTGCACTCTTTACCACCTTCATTGCAACAAACCGCTTCCCTCTGAGGAAGGAAAAAGGGGAAAGAAAAATAGTATCACACATATGCGATTTCAGCACATTAGAATGTGTCTTATGTTCTTCGAAATGACAAAGCTCTTACTGGATGTCCCAGGCCAGCCACACAGTGGAGAAATGTCCCCATCCCAGCTTCCGGATCACATGGTATTTACCATTGAATAGGTCCCCTATTTTCACATGGTGATAGCCTCCTAACCAAAGAAGAAAAGTAATCCTTCAGCTGGTATTCAGAAAGCTCATCGATTGTCATTTTGTTAGGGATTGATTTTGAGCAATGCAATTACAGCACGCTTAGACCAAAAATAGAAATTAGAACCTGACCAGACTATTGACATTGTAAAATAAGTAGATAACTAATAAAGCAAAAAATGATAAAATAATAAAGTGAAAAATAATAACATCACTTGCGTTTTGATGAATTAAGTACAAAAAAAAACAAAAAAATAGATATAGAGATATAGAGCTATAGATATATAGATGACAGAAACATCCCACCATAGGGGTATAAACACAGACATACAGGAATAATGACATTCGTCTATTTACAGTACTTTTTTTTTTTTGCAGTTTACAGTAGTTATGTGTTGCACTTCTAGGAAGAAAGAGTTTGGCCAACAGATACAACAGAAAAAAACAACAACTGTGAAACAAGGAACTGCCGCTCGTCTATTTTTACTTTCTGGGACTGCGCTGTAATTTCAGCAAGTCTCATCTATAAGCAGTAACTTCTGCTGTCAAAGTGGGACGTATAAATCCATGTCTCCCACCTTTGCAATAGTCATTGGGATCTTCTTGCTCTTCATCATCAGAGCCTAGGATTTCCTCATCGGGCTCAGCTTGTATCTGGGTCTCTGTAGGAGGCTGCTGCTGTTGAGATGCCCCGCGTGGAGGATGTGCTGGCCTGAGGGATGATAGTACATTTTATTTAGGTCAATGGACACATTACAGTACAGTCTATATAGGGCTGTCCTCTTACATTATAGACTCGTTGATGCTGATTTTACATGGTATAAATGTTCAGACAATCGTTTCATCATGTGATTTACATTTCTGATACATTACAATCAAAAGGACCTGCATAAAAACTACATTTTACTACCTAAAACACCTATATGTATTGAACTGAAGTCACCTGAATAATGCAACTATATAATCTTCTGTAGAGCTGCTTTATTGGAGAAACAGAAATTGTAATTATAACTAAAACTGTTGAATCCTGATTAAACAATTTTGTGATGTTGTTGGTTTTTCTGTTTACTATTGTAAAGCTGCTTTGAAACACTGTATTGCCAGAAACATTATATTAAAAAACCCGCCTCGATAAAAACTCTTATTTTTAAACTTCATGAAATGCACCAAGATCAGTCATCTGAATCTAAATCCATGAGGCACCATGCGCGCACAGCCAGTGTTTTGTTTTCTACTGAATAAGCTCTTTTGTTACATATAATGTTAATACAATATTTAGTAAAAAGTCTGCCAGTGTTAGGAAGCATTTTACTGACTGCATCTATCCATGTTTGGTTTAACCTATGCAAGAATAACACCTGTGTCAACATCATCACAAAAACTTAAGTGAAAGAAAGTGCAACTTGATACTGCGCATGCCAAAAAGATGACTTCATTCTGCCAAAATGTTAAGCGTTATTGTCATTTGAATACGGTTCAACAAATAAGACTAAATAAACAGAGCAAAGTCAGCAAACTCATAATATACTACAAGTAGTACATGTAATCACACTTCAAAACAGTGGTTTAAGAGCACACTAGTGATGTATGTCTCGAGACCGGTCTTGGTCTCGAGACCGGTCTCGAGACCACTTTTACGTGGTCTCGGTCTTGTCACGGCCTTGACGGTCTTTGGTCTCGGTCTTGTCTTGGTCTCGGACCTCTCGGTCTTGTCTAGGTCTCGCTGTCTCAGACCGACATAGTGGTAAGGGGATTGAGCAATACAATACTACAATATCCACGACCACGACGTTATCCGCAACGTATTGAAGCGCGCGTCCGAGTGAAGACAGTGCGGTGCGCGCGAGCCACGCGAGAAAACACTGTATCCGCGCGACCGCGCCACTGATCGCAGCGGCAACGAGCACTTTGATCACTTGATTTAAAAAACACATATCATGTACAGTTTTTGATATATTAATATTTAGTAAAACACATATCAGTGACATGATGGGTTTTACCTTCATTCAGGAGATTTTGGGTAACTGCACAACTGACAGATGACTTTGAGCGCACCGCCAACGGTGTGTGTGTGTGTGTGTGTGTGTGTGTGTGTAACCATAGCGACAAAAACGACCAACTTTCGGATCCTGCACTTAAGCCTATAATTTCGTTTTTAAAAATATAATTATGTATTTAAAAGTTGCAGAATGGATTCATTTGGAGACTTCGAAATCAGCAGAGATAGGCAGGCAAATGCAAAACAACATTTGACAAGTTATTGCTTAGCTTCAACACTAATGTTTTTTTCCCCTCCGGTCTCGACTTGGTCTCGGTCTTAGTCTCGACTTGGTCTTGGTCTCGACTTGGTCTGTCTTGGTCTTGGTCTTGTCTTGGTCTCGATACCATTTGGTCTTGGTAGTGTCTTGGTCTCGGTTTAGGCGGTCTTGACTACAAGTCTAGAGCACACTATGCAACTTCTAGGACATAATAAAGATTTTTATAAAGTCTTTATGGACAGAATTGTGGTCTATTTTATAGAAGGGGGGAAGCACAAAACTCACTTCTTGGTCGACTTCTTGGCTTTGGTCCTTTTCTTCCTCGCCTGAAGTGCCAGAACTGGTGTGACAAATGAGATGACATGAGAAAACATTAGATGACAATGAAACCATTTATAAAAATCACTTAAACTCAGTAAGCTCAATGACAGCCAAACATAGCCTGACAATACAGGAGACACACAGACCGCTGATGTTGATCTTATGTAATGCACATAAACAATACACAGCTGGGTGGGTGTTTACATTGTGACAGGAACTGAACTTTAAATAGTCGCAAGACGTGGATCTTTAATAACGTGAATGTTTTGTCAGTTTTAATAACAGCAGGAACAAAGATGCAAAACTGAAGTCTGAGGAAAATAAATTCCTGAAGTTTCCACGACAGCAAAAAAAAAAAAAAGCTTTCAACTCTCATCCAGCTGATACGCGCACGCGCCTACTCATACGCATAACGTCTATCTAAAACCAAATAAAAGTCAAATCGCTTAAGTGAAGGCGATACTAACCAACCATAAAACATGCCTCTGAGTCGTGATGAAAATAAATTCAGCTCACTTTAGCTGCAGACTGAGCGGCTAAATGCTAACGCTAAAGACATCAACCCATGCGTCCAAAGAACGACCAATATGCGTATTTATGCTTTAATATTGCACTACTACTTTGAGTCAGATTGTAAGTTAGTCGCCTTGCCTCATGCATAAACGTTATAGCTCAAAATAAGGCAAATATTATTCAGAGAAAGTGAAGGAAGAGATTACCTTTTCTCTCCATGTTGGCCCCTTCAGTTGGCGGCTTGGGTGGCCCTGCGCATGCGCGCGCCCCCGGACACGCGCATCTTGACTCCTGCGCGTTCACAGACCGTTCTATGTATATATTTTAAAAATGTGTTTGCGCAATTAAAAACAGAACGAAAACATGCGCATTTTAACCAAAAGATGACCGAACACAAAAACAAAACAGGTAAATCCATGGGACAAAGGTAATGTAGACAGTAAAATTACTGACTAAAAACAATTAGTAATGTATGGCTTCTTTGGTCATTTTTGTAAGAGATCCAGGAAACCCATTTTAAAAGGTGCTTTGGTCATAAAATGCATAAAAAAAAGGGCTGCTTTGAAAATGAAAAGGTCAATAATGATGTCATACTCTATTGTTCAACATAAAACTACAAATCAAACCAAGGAAGCAGAAGTTTCTGAAAAATATCGGCCTTTATTTTAAGTAAACAATGGTGTGTTTGATTCAATGGGTTTTTTTTTATGTCAGGTAATAAAGAAGACAATTGCAGCCTATCAGGTTCATAAATACCACCTCAACAGTATAAATACTTACTCTACTTTCATATTTGAACATTCAGTTAACAGCATTTTAAAAACAGCTACTGGAGAAAAAATCATATTTTCAGATCGCATACAATTCACAGTAGCAACATCAGGTGGACACACACACACACACACACTTTCACTCCCAAGGAAACATACACATAAGTATGTGAAAAATATCAGAATAGAAATAAAACAGCTACAGAATCCAAAAGCTTAATGAAAGGTATATTTACAAATAGCCTGAACATATTACTAATACCCAATGCCACAATTTACATTTTCTTCCAAGCTATACCCAAAGAGGCTCCAACAAATCTCATCTTTTTCAAACTGATTAATAAAGATCGTACTGTAATCATTAAATACAATGCTCATTATTTGATTGGGAAACAATACATATTAACACAAACTAAATGAACAATGTTTTACATTTTCAACCAGGGTTTTCTCTTGAACATTTTAAAAACTTAATATACTGCAAATGTGATACATTATACATAGAAAGAACATAACAGCACAACTAAATACTAAGAAATTTCAGGGAGATATTACATTTTAATGGTCTTGCATGAATGTCATACATGAACATCATAAAACTGACCAGAGCAAACTGTTAAAAAATAAGTGTATGATATTCTTATTATCAGACTATTCTTTTGGAGAGAATCACTGATTTTCTATGGCATCTATTCCTTCTGTTTGGCCAAGTAGACAACTTTTTTTTTTTTTTTTTAAGAAAGCAAAAGAAAAGTCAAATATCCTACTGACTGGCTGATCACAATACTGCAAAATTAGAGCATTACTGTATAAGTAGTACAGTTGGTTTGATTTCCATCCAGAAGAAACTGTCAAGATTCCATTTCATCTCCATCAAAGACTGGAGGCTCAAAACTGATCACCACCTCATATGTTTGACCTGTGCAAGAACAGAATCCAAAAAATTAAGGATGTGACTGCAACCTACATTAAATCTAGCTCATCCTAAATAATGTCTTTAACAAAACGGAACCAGCATGGCCCCTTTACGTTTCAGAACAGGGTTATTTTTAACGATGAATCGATGGATGGATGGACGGAGGGATTTAAAACTTTAAACAAAAAGTTTAAGCACTAAAATTACAAACTGGAAATAAATAAAAACTAAAACTGAACTGAAACTACAACAAAAATAAAATATTAATATTTTAAAATGAAAACTAATAACAAAATTAATGACAAAAGCACAGAACAAAACAAAAAGACTAAAAAATAAAAGCCAATTCAAGTAATAGTACATAAATATAGGGTAATAATATAAATGTAATATATAATAATAAATAAATAAATAATTCTAAAATAAGGCTAGTTCATGGTCGCCTAATTCAGTGTCGCAAGTGAGCAAAAATGCGAAAATAGCTTAAAGCGCTTTTAACTAAGCGCGTACTAACTAGCATTTTCCACATAAACACCAAAAACTCTTTACTTGACTTACGTTTCCACTCTTCAATATCAAGCTCTTGGCTCTCAAAACTCTGGTCGAAAGGCTCTGCCTCAGGTTCATCATCTGGGTCATGGTACTGGGCAAAGTACGTATGCGCCAGAGCCTCCGCTGCTGTGATGCGCTTATCTGTGTCTAAAACTAGCATCTTCTCCAGAAGGTCCACAGCTAAAAACACAAAGAATTAAGTATTTGATCAAAATTAAATATTGGCAGCATATTTTCTATAATTTGTTCAAATTGTCCATCAACAAAGATCAACAAAAGAACAGGGAATTATTTTATTGTCTTTTTTATTCCCTAAACAATGTGTACTTTACAATAATATATACTAAACATACTAAATAAACTGCAATTTCATATACAGTACCATTTAAACGTTTGAGGTCACAAAGTTCTTTTTATTTGTTTTTGAAAGAAATTGATACTTTTATTCAGAAAGGATGCATTAAAGGTTAAACTGATCAAAAGTGACAGTGAAGACTTTTAAAATGTGTAACAATTTACAAAAGCTAAATGTTACAAAAGCTGGGTGATTACAGTGTGACAGGTTTATATCACCTTGATTTAGAAAAGGTTTCCATTTCAAATAAATGCTATTCTATAGTTCAACTTTCTATTCAAAGAATATCTTATCGACCCCAAACTTTTGAACAGTAGGGTACCCACAAATCATTTCAGTGTCTAAACATGCCTCTCTTACCTAGTGGATTAGCCCCAATAAACACATCAGCAAAATTCCTCTTGGGCAACTGAGGAAGTGAGTTGATATAAGTACGAGCCTGTGGAAAGAAACAGGTCAACCATGAGCAGAGGTAATAAAATCATGTTTATTATAATGTTAGTAATTCGGTCCCCATGACAACTGCTTGTGTTTTGCACATAGATTGCTAACCCTGTGAATCATAACATTGTGGTGTTAGTATGCAGTGCCATTTGAATAATGCAGCAAACAAACAGCTTCAGAATGCAGAGAGGTCTGTGCTGGAGATGACAGACAGTGATTTCAGCTCGCATAGATCAGTGAATAACTGATCATGATGCTTCAGCGGCAAGCAGTCACCCGAAGAGAAAGTGGAGAAGACGAAGGAACTCTGTTGGGTGTAAACCGTTGCTTTACTTCACTATTACCTTCCCTTATATTCTCCATATGAAATAACATTTTAACCTGACCTGAAAATGCTCTAATTAATATTACAATTTGATTGGCCGAGTGGATATTTAGTCCAACAGCACTGTTTTGTTGTTTGTATCCCTCTGCTTGTCTGCGTTTCTGATGTTTAGGAACATAGTATGTAGCGTTGTAAGTGGAAACGTTTTTTGGAAGTCAGAGTAACAGTATTTTCTTCAGGAACAATCGGACCAGGGTTTCTCTCACCAGTGAGTGGGAAGAAAGAAAATAGACAACCCTGAGTAGAGTGATTACATAACACATGACTGTGTTTAACATTAATGTGTGATATTGCTTTATTATATGCTAATAAGCTTTTTTAAATCTACTAAATGTGAGACATCATTAGGCCTGCTAATTAAAGGGCATGATGGGTATTCTACAAACAGGGGGCTGGGCCACAGTGAGCTCACCTCATGGCTAGGCATCCTGCTTATTAGAGAGGCAGGTGGAGTTCCTGTAAGTCGCATTATCTGTTGAAGCTGGTTTATATCTTTGAAGGCCAGGTCAAGGAGATCAAGGTCCACAAATTTAGTGTAAAGCATATGTATAAAAAATTATCTGGACATTATATTGTGGTTCTCCACTACTCTAGGGAAAAGGACAGGATAAAAAGAAAGAGAGAGGAAAAGTTTGGCATGCAAATTGCATTCATTTACAGCAGAGAAGAAACGTCATGCATTAGATAGCAAGAGAGCTTGATAAGTGTATTAGAATCTGCTCAGAAATACAGCTGCCATTAGCAGATCTGGAAGACAAAAATCAGGCTTGTTAATTTCAGTTTAGATGTCAGGATTCAGTCACAAACAGAACCTCGGGTCAGTCTTTCATCTAAAAGTGAAGTCAATGTTTAGCAGGAGAGCACTGGAAAAATACCTTTTTATTAGCAGTCAAAAACAGCCGCACTCAACACACATTCCTTGTTAGAAAATCCAGCTTAGACTGGTCCAAGCAGAACATTAGCTGGTCAACCAGCCAACGTGTTCCAAAAACTAGCCTGATCAATTTAAGATAGTATGACCAGCTTGCACCAGTTAAAGACCAGCTACTGTTTAAAATGTTTGGTCTTTTTTTTTTTTTTTTTAAGACATTAGCACATTTGTTTAGCGAGGATTCATTAAATTGAACACAAGTGACAGTAAAGATATTCTTATAGTACTACAAAAAATGTATTTAAAACTATTTTTTTTTTAAAATGTAACTTCGAGAACCTTTTAGCAAAGAATCCTGAAATACAAAATGCATTACGATTTCATCAAAAATATTAAGCAGCACAACAGTTTGCAACTGTGAAAATAAGAAATATTTTTTGTGCACCAAATCAGCATATTAGAATGATTTCTGAAGGATCAAGTGACACTGAAGACTGGAGTAATGGCTGCTAAAAATGTAACTTTCCAAATGAATAAATTAAAAAATATATTTCAATAGAAAAGTTATTTTGAATTTTAATAATACTACACAATATCACTGTATTTTGTTCGAACAAATTCAGCCTTGGTGAGCATAATAGACCTACATTTAAAAATTGTACCGACCCCAAACTTTTGACCGTTAGTGTCCAGCCAGGACCAGACAAAAAGCGGTTTCAAAACACAGCTGCCAGCTTAATATGGATTTTCCACTTTGAAAATTAACACACACAGGCGTTTTTAGCAAGTGCTCTCTCCCTAAATATATTAAACTCACAGACTCCGATGATATTTTCATTAACAGCTCAGGTCCTGGAGTTCCAACCAGAAGCATAATAAGCTTCAACTGATCGATGTCTAGTAAAACAAGATGAAGGAAAACTAGTGTGGCTCAACATGGAACACGCCACAAAGCAGGAAACGCTCATTTCGGTTTCATGTGTACTTAAAGAACAGGAAAGCAAAGAAGCTTTGGTCACATCTGTGGAAAGACGAGCAAGCTTGTAAAAATAGCACAGGTTGAATATTTTCAGCTTGCCCAGCAAAAGCATGACAGAAGTAGCCGCACAGGTGTGCTCTGCCTGTAAGAGGGGGGAAATATTTGGCAAGTATTTCTGTTCCATGGGGTGTGGAGCCAGAAGCATTAAGAGTGGCAGCCGTTCAAGATACAGAGTGTCAAATATGCACAGCCAGGGGGGAAAACATGCTGAAAGTGCAGAAATGTGGACAACATTTGTCATTGGAAATAAAATAAAAAAAGAGAGTAAAATGAGAGCGAGAAAGAGAGAGGCATGTCATTTCCTGCAGGGAGTTTATTGCATTCTCATAATGATGGATCATATATCCTTCAAATCACTGTTGAGTCTTGGGGCACAGCTTGAAAACAGAGCTTAAGTGAAAGGGACAAAAGGTCAGTGTAAGACAGAAGAGGCAGACAGATCTGCCAGCTTCTGCCATAGCACACATACACACTGCAAGGACAGGAATATAGAGAACGAGAGAGAGAAAATAAGATTGTAAAATTGTAAGATTGTTTAAATCAGTATGAGAGCAAAATACGCTCTTAAAAAAACACTAAATCAGGGACGTTTCTGGCTTTGAGCCGTGGTTACATTTACAGAGAGCGTTCTGCAAGTCAATGAGGGGTAAACGAGAGGAAAAGGATACGGTCTGTGCCAGGGAACAGAGTCCTGCCCGTCAACAGCTCAGCCATGATGCAGCCCACTGACCAAATGTCCACTGAAAAGAAATCAAGAAACAACATTAGTAGAGAGGCAGCAAGCACATGTCCCCACTATTGTGTCCTGACCCAGCTCTCTTGTCACAGAGGGATGAAAAAAATAGATCAACTGCGACAATCTTCAAAAGACATTTCAGCAAAGTTAGCTTGTTCTGGGAGTAGTCTACATTACTGTTCAAAAGTTTGGGGTCAGAACAAAAAAAAATTGTTGAAGAAATTAACACTATTCAGCAACACTCTTAAAAGTGTAAAATGGTGTTTTAGCAGTGATAGCCATAGAAGAACCTTTTTTTCTTAGAATGAAGAACATTTAAAAAAATCTAAAGAAACTTGTTCCACTGTAAATAACGTTTTGTAAAAATGGAAAAGTTTTATGGATGTTAATGCCAATGCACTTGCCAACAAAGAACCTTTATTTTTAAGAATGAAGGATGCATTAAACTTATAAAAAAAAAAAACTAAATGTCTGCCACTTTAGATCATAGTCTTATTATAATATTACCACCCCTTAATCTGCACGTTTCCACCCACAGTGCCGCCATTTGGTTTTCGCAAATGATAACAGTGTAACCAATTCTAACGCAATGGCAAAAGTTTGAGCAAAGCATGCAAACTGTTCTGTCGTTGGCTGCGAAGAACACTATTTGACCAAAAATGTGTAAAACTTGTGTAAAAGTTAAACATGATGGTACATGCAAGTCAATGAGATGAATCAATGTAACTCCACAACAACTGCATAAATGTACTATCCACTAACCATTCAGAAACGTCCAGGTGCAGTCTAAGGCCCCATTTACACTGCATGGTTCAAGTGACCCAAATCTGATTTTTTCCTCTCATGTGGCACAGATCGGATATGACCCATGAACGTGTAAGCAGGAAAAAAAACCGCATGGATTCCGATTTTCTCAGATCGGATTTAGGCCTCACTCATATGTGGTAATAAATCGGATATGAATCGGATACGTGCATTTGCGTGTGCCATGTAAGCAGACAAATCGGATATTCCCCAGTAAACGCGAGTCGTACGTCATTAAAAAAGTGACGTCAACTCAGGTGGACACCACAACTGAGATCACATGACTTATTATAGGCGCGATGGAGGATACACACAGTGGAGCAATGCGGAGGTTTCGCGTCTTTTGAGTGTTTGGGGCGAAGAGACAGTGCAGGCAAAAATGCAGGGTTGTTACAGAAATAAATCCGTGTTTGAAGACATTTCACGAGATATGGGGAGACACGGTTTTAAGCGCTCGTGGCTACAGTGCCACCATAAGCTTATGACTTTTAAAAATATTGTGGAAAGCAAAACACTGGATAATTTTATTCACATCTGCATCCATTGTATTTCGTGCTGTTTTACTTCCTTTTCCGGGTCAGAACGTCTACATTTGGTAGTTTCAGCAGTGTATAGTGTAAATGCAAAAATCGGATACGGGTCACTTTTTAAAGATGATGTAAGCGGGTCGTCAAAAAAATCGGATATAGTCAGAAAATCGGATTTGGGCATCAAGACCTGCAGTGTAAATGCAGCCTAAAAGTTGCAACCTCTTCCAGAGTCTCTCCGTAAGGTTGCGCTACGCTACTGGTTATCTCTGAAATTTTGGATGAGTGAAATTCACACGTTTTTTTATTGCCGGAGAGTATCCGAAGCTCGTGTAAAAGATCGGCCGTCTTCTGAACGGGGACACACAAAAATGGAGCGTTGTTGCCCACACCCAAAAAGGGGCAAAATTTGACAAGCTATAATAAATGATCTGGGGGGTATTTTGAGCTGAAATTTGAGATTTTTATTACATCTTGTGAAAATGGGCATAATGTGTCACATTTAAGCAGTTACTGTTTTCAACATTGATAATAATAAGAAATGTTTCTTGAGCACTAAATCAGCATATTAGAATGATTTCTGAAGGATCATGTGACACTGAAGGCTGGAGTAAATCAGCTTTGCCATCACAGGTATAAATTACACTTATATGAAAACAGAAAACTGCTATATTTTGTGAAATATTATTACAATTTAAAAGTTTTACTGTATTTTGATCAAATAAATACAGCCTTGGTGAGCCTTCTTTTAAAAACATTAAAAATTATTTCCAACTTTTGAACGGTAGAGTACACCATCTGGTTCTAAAAAGCCTGGGTGTAGTTGTGTTACCTGTCATGTTGTAGTGCATCCAGTTGAGCATGATCTCTGGGGCGCGGTACCACCTTGTGGCCACATACCCTGTCATCTCATCATCTGTGTGTCTAGCCAGCCCAAAGTCAAGGATCTGAGATAAAAAAAAAGAAAATACATCCTGTTAATAACAATTAAAGTATTACAAGCAAATGTATAACAACTATGAAAAAAATATGACAGACTAACCTTAAGTTCACAGTCTTCATTTACTGCCAGATTACTGGGTTTCAAGTCCTGGTAAACGATTATTGGACATTAGTTCACGGTCTCCTTATACCATTTAAAATGAATATTTGCAGCTATTTATGAATTAAATTTACAGATGTGACATCTTTTAGCATTTCAATTCAACTTGTCACTCAGTTCATACAAACAAAAACGACCTATTTTTCTTAAAGCAATATGACTTCATAAAATTGAATACTGAATTATTCTAATTAAATTAAAAACAAAAGTTATTTGAGCTGTAAAGAAGTCAAAATCTTTTCAATTTGGGCTATTTTTCGAAGTAAATAAACTTCATATTACCGATGTAACTGCACAATTTCCTGCCAGGCTTGTAATTGCAACAAAAAATGTTTATTCTTTATTACTAAAGTAGGAACGAGTCATAATTATTTTCTGTGGTAATCAACAGCATGGAAAAGATGCTGTACACAGATATCAAGATGAAAATAACACAGACTATTTCTTTAAGACTAAACTAATTTATATCAATTTCTAGTTTTAGTCTTTACACAAAAGCAGGCCTGAGCATGTAAAATGGTTATGCCAGGGAGAATTGGCTCCATGAGGCAACATATACTTAATTTTTTTAATGTAAATAGCCTGCAGGCTATTTCTCATATACCCGAGTGAGCACTTACCCTGTGAATTATGTCGGCCGAATGGATGTACTGGTAAAATTAAAAGAAAAATAGAGAAAGAAAAAAAAATTATGTGAGATAATAAAATTCCAGCTGTAAGGTTTACACTAAAAAATAGGTCAAATAAATGTCTAGATACTATTTCAAACATTGTGCTGGACATAATACTTTTCAGTTCATTGTTATTTTTATTTAATTTACATCAGCTTTAAGAACTGAGATTCCGGTTTGTATTCGTTACGGGATGGGAAAGTGCAGTTTCACCTTAAGCCCTCGCAGGATCTGGTAAATAAGGAACTGAACATGATCATCGGTCAGCTTCTGACACTTCACAATATTATTTAGGTCAGCGCCCATAAGATGAGTCACCAGGTACCTGCAAATCAGAACACAAGAAGAATGTTATTCACCTGCCAACTGTATTTAACCTGGTGTAAGGAGTGACTGCACAACTTGAAATGTAGGGAACATTTAGTTCTTTTCTGACAAAATGAAGCTTAACTACTCTCAACATCAAGATGTTCCACTGGATCAGTTTATTCAGGCACAATGACATCAGATTTTATTGCAGTCTTCAACCTATCACACAAACACCTCACGATAACCCACAGCAGAGTCTACATAAGCACTGACTCTTAGCAAGAGGGTGGAGCTACAGGTCAAACAGAGCCACTGCGATACAACACACAGCAGAGCTTAAAATAAGCCATACTTAATCCCAGAAACACTCTCCACCCAATAGACACATTCAGCATTAGAGATAAATCAACAAATACAACCCACCCCCACAAAGATTTAGGGGGGAAAAACACAGATTAGAGACAATAAACAAATGTAAATCACTTCGACACACAGGCAATGAAAAGCTAAAGCAAACTGATTCAGACACCAAAAACACATGCATTTACACACGGTCAACTGAGAATTTATATATTTATTGGAAGAGCCTGGAGCTCTGGAGTTAAGTCGCCACACAAACATTTCTGCTAGTTTCAGTAGTGGAAGGAGTGCGGATGCCCTTCATGTATCAGTGTGAGTCAGGTCTATTTTTGGCAGCAGAATTGATGTTAAGTCACAGCAGCATCTGCTTTTACAACCTGGCTGTATCCTTAGCATTCCCTACTAACCTACGGCTGTTAAGCTGGAGCCAGGCAGCACAAAAAGCTCTGTCTCTGTGGACCCGAAGCTCCATAAAACCATGAGAGCCTGAAAACATGCTTATAATCACCTAACAAAGAGCACAAGATAAATAATGCATTATTCTGTTTAGTGTATGAGATATTAGGACTGAACACACAGGAGTGATTGTAATAAAGCCGTACTAAAGAACACGTCACAGCGTATTATATATATATATATACACTCACCGGCCACTTTATTAGGTACACCTGTCCAACTGCTCGTTAACACTTAATTTCTAAGCAGCCAATCACATGGCGGCAACTCAGTGCATTTAGGCATGTAGACATGGTCAAGACAATCTCCTGCAGTTCAAACCGAGCATCAGTATGGGGAAGAAAGGTGATTTGAGTGACTTTGAACGTGGCATGATTGTTGGTGCCAGAAGGGCTGGTCTGAGTATTTCAGAAACTGCTAATCTACTGGGATTTTCACGCACAACCATCTCTAGGGTTTACAGAGAATGGTCCGAAAAAGAAAAAACATCCAGTGAGCGGCAGTTCTGTGGGCGGAAATGCCTTGTTGATGCCAGAGGTCAGAGGAGAATGGCCAGACTGGTTCGAGCTGATAGAAGGGCAACAGTGACTGAAATAACCACTCGTTACAACCGAGGTATGCAGCAAAGCATTTGTGAAGCCACAACACGCACAACCTTGAGGCGGATGGGCTACAACAGCAGAAGACTCCACCGGGTACCACTCATCTCCACTACAAATAGGAAAAAGAGGCTACAATTTGCAAGAGCTCACCAAAATTGAACAGTTGAAGACTGGAAAAATGTTGCCTGGTCTGATGAGTCTCGATTTCTGTTGAGACATTCAGATGTTAGAGTCAGAATTTGGCGTAAACAGAATGAGAACATGGAACCACCATGCCTTGTTACCACTGTGCAGGCTGGTGGTGGTGGTGTAATGGTGTGGGGGATGTTTTCCTGGCACACTTTAGGCCCCTTAGTGCCAATTGGGCATCGTTTAAATGCCACGGCCTACCTGAGCATTGTTTCTGACCATGTCCATCCCTTTATGGCCACCATGTACCCATCCTCTGATGGCTACTTCCACCATGTCACAAAGCTCTAATCATTTCAAATTGGTTTCTTGAACATGACAATGAGTTCACTGTACTAAAATGGCCTCCACAGTCACCAGATCTCAACCCAATAGAGCATCTTTGGGATGTGGTGGAACGGGAGATTCGCATCATGGATGTGCAGCCGACAAATCTGCGGCAACTGTGTGATGCCATCATGTCAATATGGACCAAACTCCCTGAGGAATGCTTCCAGCACCTTGTTGAATCTATGCCACGAAGAATTGAGGCAGTTCTGAAGGCAAAAGGGGGTCCAACCCGTTACTAGCATGGGGTACCTAATAAAGTGGCCGGTGAGTGTGTGTATATATATATATATATATTAAAAAAATAACTTTAATCGCTTTAATTGTAATCAACAGTTGCACAGGAAGCATCTGATAAAGTGGGCCATTTTACGTCTTCAGTGGTGGACTTGTTGTTCTATTTTTGACATGCTGTAGTAGCCCTTTATGTTTGACAGAAGTCTCTTATGCTCGCCAAGGCTGAATTTATTTGATGAAAAATGCAGTAAAAACAGTAATATTGTGAAATATTATTACAATTTAAAAGAAAAGTTGTCTGTTTTAATATATTTTAAAATGTAATTTTATCCTGCGATGGCAAAGCTGAATTTTCAGCATCATTACTCCAGTCTTCAGTCTCACATGATCCTTCAGAAATCATTCTAAAATGCTGATTTGCTGCTCAAGAAACAATTCTTATTATCAATGTTGAACATTTTTGAGAAAGCCATGATACTTTTTTTTCCGGTAAAAAATGAGAAAACCAAAAAATACACCACAATCCCAGACGTAGTACTGAAGGAAAATGAAAATTGAGCGGAAGTACGTAGGAGGGCGGAGCCAGGCTAGTGAATAACATCTCAGAGGAAGAAATTGTCTGACTTACACATCATTAAACTCCTCCAGGGAGGTGGCAGGTGTGAAAACATCCAGCAGGCCGATCACCTACAAGCACAAAGTGCAAAGAATACAAATCAGGATCATTTAGTACTGCATGTACAGTATTGCATTAAGATTTTATTGCATAACCTGACAGGGAAATCTAGAATTACCACAGAGGAAGTTCTAGAATTCCCTGTCAGACAGAATACCCCAAATTAAATTAAGATAAGAACAATACCCGTTTGATTGAGAAAAATATTTATTTTCAGTGAGAAAATAAAAACGGTGTTCCAGAGTAGGGGTGGGCGATATAACCAAAATCTTACATCATTTCTTGTCACCAAATTCAATATCACAAAAAGCTAATAGCCTAGATAAGTACAAATTAACCTCTCAAGCTAGCTAAAGACTAGTAAACAGTTAGTGATAAAATAAGAAAAAAAGAAACTAATTACAAGCATATAGGAAATCAAACGACAATAGAACAAAGACACAAATAAAACAGACCTATCTGAAAAACGTCAAGCACTTAAAATAAGAAATACTAAAAAATGTATTAAGTAATCGAATGTATAAAAAAAAGCACAGCATAGTTTTCACTGTGTAAATTAAATATACATTTATTCTTAAAGTTACAAAAGTTATTCAGTCAAGAGCAGAGCGAGATGTTTGATTAACATTAATGACTAACTGCTGTCAGTTTCAGAACGAATGCGTGGATCTGTCAATTAACCGTCAGTGGTTGGCCCTTTAACACTGTGGTGGTATAAAATTCCCACAGTCATAGCCCTAATTTTGTTGCACTTTTCCAAAAGAGTATGTTGTATAATTTAATACATTTTTAGTTTAATTAAAATTGACCGTTTTCTTTGGGGGGCAACAAAGGGATGCACCCTACACAAGGGGGGCCTCACACTGAAAAAGTTTGAGAACCACCGTACTAGAGGTTCTGACAAAATGTTAATTGCTGCAGTCTATTTAAAAATATATGATTAATTTGAATTCATTACTTTAAAAAAGGTTTGAAAAGAATTATTCAAAGACTCACTTGTTTATTTCCTGGATGAATCAGCATTTTTGAATGAATCCCTTAAATTAATGATTCAATGACTCACTCATTATAACTTCAATTGTTTCATTACTGAAGGAATCAGCGTTTTTGAATGAATCTCTTGAATGAGTGATTCAATGACAAGTCCATTTTTTAACTTGTCGCCACCTACTAGAGTAACGATGTAATTGGTACAATCTTTAGTCAAGTTAGTTTCAAAAGGTGATTTACTCTATTTTGTTTGCAAACCGTAGACAGTAGTGTTTATATCCGAACTATAAACTTTTATCCCAGTACTTCTGTGATAAAATTGAAATAATGATACTGTGTAGTTGAAAAGACTTTGTGAAGCTGTTTCATACCTATACATGACAACTGCTCTCTCTGGCTCAGCGGCAGATCTGAATGCTCGCTGTGATTGTACTTGTCAAATAGACATCTAGACTAATCGCTGTCATTCAGGAATAAGATTGTCTGGGTGTTTGAATCGAGATTGCGATCTTTTAACGATTAATCATGCAGCTCTACTCCTTATGAAACAAATACATGTCTGCAGAAACCAAACTGGAAAAACTGGTTTGGAACAAAATGAGGGTGAGTAAATAATGACAAAATTTAAAATATTTGGATGAACTTAGCCTTTAACCATCAGGATTACCAACCGTTACTCTGCATATTGGCCTTGTCAGTTTGATAATACCAGGGATCCAAACTCACATTCTCATGTTTCATATGCTTGAGTAGCCGCAATTCCCTGTAAGTCCGCTTGGCATGGATGATGGACTGAAATGGCCTTGACAGTTTCTTCACGGCGACCTTCAATCCTGACTTTTCATCAAATGCAGAGCTGAGAAAAACAGAACGACATGATTCAAGCATGCCATCACACATTGTTGCACAACTGAAACGCCAACATGCTACAACAGGACCAAAGTTAAAGACGGTTGGAAGTAAGAGTCAGCATTGAATTAACTTGCCATACATTTTAGACTGAAACAAAAGCTGGTCAGATTCTCACTTCCTTATGTTAGAAACCACCGATGTTTACAGACAGAACTAAAGGGTAAAACGTACCTATTGCAACCAATCATAAAATAACTTTAAAAGGACAAACTATTTAGTGTTTAATCAGAGACTGACCACCACGTGCTATGTAGTAGACGTAACAGTGAAGGTAATGATACAACCTTTCAAGACACAAAGGATATTTTAAATGCACAACTTGACTGAGAGACCTGATTGATCTTATCAAAGAAAATCTTTTGGCTCCGCTTTTTCGAATACACTGCACAGGCTGAGAGATGATCCTGGCACTTCAAACCCAGTGCAATCTGTTCATCAGATATTCAATTACACAGACACAATAAGGGGGCCCATGAAACATAATCTAGATAGCACGGTTGCCTAGCATCGTAATTTCTAACAGTCACTTGGGTGCATAAACAACCTGTCTACACTGAGGAGTAATTTAGAAAATGAGCCTGGCCTTCAAACACCTGTCTGTTTAAGAGACAGAGACCTTTCTGAAAATCATTTGCAAACATTAAAGAGTGAGGTAACACTTGTTTCGAGTTTAAGGAAGAAACAAAAGAACTCTTTAGATGTGCACAAATATGACTAGATAAAACAAGATCGCATTTCCTCAGTAAAACAATCTGTCATAATCAGCATGTTTCTGATCACAACAATTTAAGATGAATTTTTTTTTACTTTGCAAAATTTTTTATCTAATTCCACATTAATATGCAAAGACAACTACAAGTAAACTATTTTTATGTTGATTTTCCTAAAAACATTGTGTCAGTTTCAAAACACTGCAGTGCTTGTTTGAGCACCTGTGGCCTGTTGCACAAAGCCGGTTTCAGTTTCTACCCATGTAAGTTTAAGATTAGTCTGAGCAAACTCTGGTTTTTCGGGTTCAAGAAGATGGATTGGTTTTTAGCGGGTTTCATTGCTATGGTAACTTACGCTACACGGCTAACCTTTATATTAAAATAAATAATACATGGCATGCATTAACCTATAAAGCTTTAAAACAGATTAAGCTATTTGTTTGATTCACATGCATTGATATATTCAGATTTTTTCTTTCCGCTGCCTTCTCAAACTTTCGCTGCAGCAGCAGTGTTTTTTCCTGCCATGTAAATTAATTTGATTTCATGATATTTTTGTCATAATGATCTCTTAATCTTCAGCAGAGAAGTGAATTGCACGGCTCTCTCGCGAGAGGTGAATCAAACTGACGCTCTCCATGTTCCGTGTGATTGGCTATTAGTTGCACGTAACACACTCAGGTGCACGCGCTTCAGAGTTAATCGCAAACTCTGGATTAAACCGGAGTTGACAGAAAACGTTTATACCGAGCTTTGTGAGACTGTTGAACCTGATCTAAACCAAGTATGGATTTGTCAACTGCAAACCTACTCTAAAAAGAGTTTGTTCAACTAGCTTCATGCAACAGGCCTCTGGCACCACAACTTTGTCTCTACCAATAGCCCAATCAATTAATTGCAGTGTGTTTGGGAAACCTGCTTGAAAACAATCATTTTGTTAAATTCCATTTGGTGGCTCTAGTGCAGCAGAAATAACAAAGTTTAGCATTAAAGGGATAGTTCACCCAAAAAAGAAAATGATGCCATTATGTACTCACCCTCAAGTTGTTCTAAACCTCTTTCTTCTGTTGAACACAAAATAAGATATTTTGAAGAATGTGGGTAACCAAACAGCTGCTGGTCCCCATTGACTTCCATAGTATAGAAAAAAAAAAGTAAAACAGAAACAATATGGAAGTCAATGGAGACCAGAAACTGTATGGTTACCTACATTCCTCAAAATATCTACTTTTGTGTTCAGCACAAGAAAGAAATTCATACAGGTTTAGAACAACAATCATTTTTGGGTGAACTATCCCTTTAAAGGTGCACCCTGTAGGTTTTTGTTTATGTTTAGCTCACTCTTATGCATCTCAATAATGGGGGGGGGGGGGGGGGGGGGGGTCGTTTTTCAGTCGATTGCATGAAATGTTAGTCATGTTATGTCAACATCTACGTAGCATTCAGATTGCATAAATCGGGAATGAGTCAACACCTTATTTACGTGTACATTTAATTTTAATTATATTTCTCAAAAGTGTGCTTGATTTATTTATTTGCCTGCTTTGTTAATACAAATTACTGAGCGCACCTTTAAGTGAATCATAAATTAAGCTGTCAGGAAACATCAGTACAGAACCACCAACAAACTTCCTAATCGCAACTAAAATCAAACGAGCAATCTTTAGATGAATGAATCACGAGATTAAGACAATAACACACGACAAGCCCTATGAGGTTTTCTTCACCTCATCCTGGGTGTTACTACAAGCAAACGAGAAAATTAAGTGCCATGAATCACTAACAACAGTCGTGAAATTACACGCAGCTCTGACTCATCGGTTGCGTTTCAAAACCTATCGAGTTACCTAACTTACAAGGTACCCAAAAGCGGCAGCTCCCTTGGTTAAGATACAGACTAGTCATGGGGTGACCTCATTCAGGACAGACCCCACCAGATGTCCTCATTAAGACCACCCTACACCCCTAAATAGGGCGAATAAAGAAAAGCGTGGTTCTATATCATAAACAATGACCAGTTTACCAGATAAACAACTTTGCAGTTTATCGAGTTCATCTCTTCCTCGACTTGCAACCATTTTAACGTACCACATTATTGTGCATCACGTTTGCCCGTCCACCGCAAAGCTTCACTTTGAAACTGAAGTGGCATGCGTGCGTGCACGCGAGGTGGCATTTGCAACATACGAGACTTTAAATGTTTATAAAGCGTAATCACCCAAGTTAGAACACTTTGCAACACTACAAGAACTTTAAACCCGCTTTTTATGACTAGCAATCCCTCTAGCATAACAAACCGCAGACTTTGGTCTTATTAGCAAGTTTTGCTAACGCAGAGCAATGCTGTACGGGCCCGTAAGAATGAATGGGACACATCGTTCCGCCATAGAAACAACAGATAAATATTTACCAAACAGTTCCGTATGCACCAGAGCCGACGGGAGACAAGTTCTGATATCGCAAAGGGACTTCCCATATCGTCTTGTTGACCTCCTGTCGATAGAAAGTGGGTCTTTCTTTCTGCGACATGCCTGCAGAACGAGCACCCGAGACGACTTGAGACTTCTGCTTTCCCTGGCTTGCTTGCCTGCGATTCGAGGTAGTTGAGTTTTCCTGCAACAATCAAAAATGGAAAGTAGCCTAACCAACCGATAAAGTCGACCGTGCACGCGGATACTCTGGAACGAACCGCCCCGTTGTGTTTATTTCATTCCAGCGACTCCAAATGCTCTTGGAATGTGACTGTTCGGAAGTTGCTCGGTTCCGGGGTCACGGTGGTTTTTCGAGCACTATCCCGTCTGCGTCTCTCTCCCTGCTGCTACAAAAATGAAAGACGCAGTAAAAAAGCAAACCGAGTTCCCAAGCGCGCCCCCTGTAACGCATTCACACGTATACAGGAGTTTGTAGACCTAGCATACTACAATGTAGAACACAAACTAAAAGAGACATGGAAATGTTTAATGCAAATATCTGAATACGATATTGTTCCCACACTAAAAAGTTTTAGGTGGTTTGAACTTTACAATGCACAATAACATCAGAGAGAACATACAGATGTCCATAACAGATTAAGCTGGTGTAAGATATCAATAAATACAGACCATACAATTTTTTATGGAATAATTATTTTAATTTTACATTAAAACGTTCTTCATTTTATTTATATCTTTCATTCACTCAATGTCACTTTACAAGGACAAAGAAAAAACGATAAGAAAACTAATAATATAACGCGATAGAAACAATTAAGAAAAGCAAACAACAGACTGCAGTAATGAGCAGAGAACAAAGACCATAAATAAGCACTGCAGACTTAACCTAATAGAACAATAACAAAATAAATCTGAGATGGATGTGATATTATGGAGATTTTACCACAGGGAATTTCATTACACTGAAATGCCTGTCACCCATGGAAGAGATTCTGAAGCTTGGGACAGTGAGAAGACCAGAACTTGAAGACTTAACATTTATCCTGTATTTTTTTAAAGGAAATATTTTAATAATTCTGTATGAAAAGTTATACAGTCATGTGCTCTTGAGGGCTGGTAGGACACATGGTTCAGAGGTTATATTTGCCATTGGCATCTGGGTTATAAAGGTCAGGCTATGTTTCTCGTCTGTAAACCTGTAAAGAAAACATTGTTAGACTTTAATTTTGAATAGGAACATTTTAAAAGACAAAATAGCAGTATAATTATTCTTCACAAACACACAAAAAAAAACATTTATCCATTACAGTACTGGACCCTTACCCTGCATCACTGCAAACCTGGATCTTCACTGAGGAAGATGTTGATAGAGCAGGAGGATGGGCTGGTTTCCTGTCAGACGGTAAAGAAAAACAAGACAAATATTTGTAATTGTAGAGAGAACCATGAAAGCCACTTAGCACTGTTGTCTGTCGCAACATATCCCAGGACACTGCTGAAATGATCGTGAAATGAGCATTTGGGACCCAAACTGCCTCAAAAGGAATTTGTGAAATGCAAAGAAATCCAGGCCTGAGATAATTGAAATCTGAAATCAAGTTGTAATTACATTTGGTGACAGCATGGCAGTGCTAAAAAGCTAAAAGAACAACAATATATTTTTATTTAGCACTGTCATTTCAAGAAAATGTTTTCTAGCCTACAGAACATAATGTAATATCCAAATCCCTTTTAATTCATTAAGACCCAGTGTGCATTCAGTGACTTTCTCTGTTCTTAATTTTAATTTTAATATTTAATAGAAAAATACAAATGAAGCCCTTGAAAAACTCTCCTATAGTCTGCACAGGAGGATTGATATTTATTTTGATAAATGGGGACAAATTTTGCATTTCTGTAACCCGCAATAGCAGTGGCATGTGATGAAAATAAAATAATGGTCATGGTAAATATGATGGGAACTTATGGTGCTGGCAACACCCCAGTCCACCCTTTTTCTTATTTTTCTTTATTGTTGTTGTTTTGTTTTTATTTATTTATATATTCACTTATTATTTATATTGGTACAATTCAATTCAATTGGTAAGATTAACTGTTTTGTTTTATGTACATTTTTAATTTAGTAACAGCTTGGTTATGTCAAATTGCTTATACAATTTCTTGTTTTGTTTGTAAATAAGAAAATCAATAAAGTACAAATCATAAAAAATACAAATACAAATGAAAAGCAATATTTTAGTGAACAATATATTTAAAATAAATATTGAATTCCATCTATATTAACGTTACAAAAAAACAACCACAATGATTTTTCATTAACTTAATGATTTCAAGTTTTCAAGAAGTTTTCAATTCTATACACAAAAAACCTTGAAGTATATCATTTCTTGTACAATTATTATAACAAATTATCATTTGTAATAATTATAAATCTATTTACCTTATTTTTCGTCCATTCAATTTAGCAAAAAGCAGATTGAGCAGTCTCTCTTTCTGCTCCCATGTTAGATCAGAAATATCCACACCGGAGCTTTTCAAGTTGCTCCTGAAATGACACCATAGCATTTTCATTGTCATCTTGATTAGAGATGCACCTGAGGAGTGGATAGAAATTCTGTGCTAAAACTCTCACACCATTTGTCAGCCTCTTCCTGGTCAAACTGGACATCATTGGTGCTGTGTGGGGCATTAGAGAAGGTCCGTATACGAGGGTACACCAATCTTCCAGCCCGTGCCTCATTCATTCTCCAGCGATAGGCCTTCAGAGCCTCCTGTCTATACATACAAGATGATCTTCAAATACGGGAATCACTTCCAAATGTGAAGATGAATCTTTAAAATCCCATATTGAGAATATTTCACAGAGCAGCGTTTCGTTTTCACAACTTAAGCTAACCTGTAGTGCTGTTGTTGTGTTCTTATTTCCTTCCTCACATGGTCAAGAGCTTTGTGAAAGAAGAGCTCGAGTTCTTTACGCTGCTCCATGATGCTTTGCGCCAGCTGTTTCACTTGGCCCAGCTCCTTCTCTCGAACAGCTAGAAGCATTTCCAACCTCTCAAGGTCTGTGCCGTTGGCCTGCGCGCTGACCATGGCACGCCGTTCCACCTCTTCTCTCTCCTGCTCAAACTCCCCAGACATGATGCTCAGAGCTTGCTCAAGTGTGACCAATTTAGCCCTTAGCTCAGAGCTCTCATTTTGTTGGGACTTTAACTGGGAATTTCCTTCCTTTCTCATCAGTTCATTCGTCTCCTGCAGAATCAATCAGTTGTAGAGTCATCACTGGACATATGCAATGTGCTGAAACCAATGGCAAATATGAGCACATCTCTGCAAGCCAGCTTAGTTAAAATGTACTTCGGTTTTATTAAGCTTATGCTTTAATGAAATACTCAAGGCAAGACACTGTCACAGTAAAAAAAACATTGGGTTGTTTTTTAACCTGGGTTACAAATATCTGGTCACTATGTTGGGTTATTCCCCCGCCCCCCAACCCCCCCCCCCCCCCCCCCCCCCCCCCCCCCCCCCCACACACACTTTAATATATTTGGGTTATTTTTTTAACCCGACATTATTAAGTGAGTACATGGAAAACCATTGTTTTTTCATGCACTATTCATTTTGGAGATTTTGCTTCTATACTTACACTGTAAAAAGTGATCAGTTGACAAAAATTAGGAAACCCGTTGCCTTAAAATTATTAAGTAAATAAACTTCATGCTTAATTAAAAATAAATTAAGTAATATGGAATTGTCAAGTTTACATAACCTAATTTTTTCAATTAAGCAATACGTTTATTTACATAGTAATTTTAAGGCAACGATTTTTCTAAGCAAGTAAACTGAACACTGTGGCGAGCAGGACTAGGCCGAGAGACGTGAGAGAACGGCGCGAGGCCGGTGGTGTGAGTGGTAATGAGCGACACCTGTGAGACGCACCGGTCTCGCATCTCTCACGGAGGAGCAGAAGCATAAAGGAGGAGCGACGACAGTGAAGATCTCACAGGTGTCTCACAACAATATGCGAAAGGTTCGCTCTATGAACGCAATAATAAGCATTTTCAAAAACTGGGTACAATGACATGACATTATTCTACTGACCCTTCAACCATCGAACATTAAAAGGAAATTTAAAAGTTTAAAAGCATTAACAAATTACTACAACATACCATGAATGAATAACCCCAAAAGATTGATTATTTCCGCAGCAATACGGACGTGTTAAATATCACTGTTGTAATATCTGTATTGTACATTGCCTTTATCAAAAATGGGCATTAACTGGAACATTGAGAGATAATATTTCAAAGTGATTTCCATCATTTTGACAGATTTACCTGCTTTAGAAACATTCCAGTAAACACTGCTAATAGGGATTAGAAGTGAAAAGAGGGAGACAATTACATTTTAAAGCATCCGTGTGAATAAAAAAACCTGGAAATAGACGTGAGGATTTGGGGAGAAAACAAGAGATTCTTAGTGCTTTGCAGTGAATTATTCATGAGATACATATCGTAAATTAAATCAGGAGAGCAGACCACAAATGTGCAGTATATGTTGTCCTTTTCCATACTGTTACAGCAGAATACAAAGGAAAAGAAGATCAGGAGAAAAGAATTTAGTGACTGAAAAGAGCTCTTCCTATAGGTATTCTTGTGATACCATGTCATATTAAAATACTAAGTGTTACGTTATTATATAACACGTTCGTATAATAGAACATGAAGGAAATTGTACAGCTCATTCAGTCAAACTGACAGATAAGGACTATAGCGCACCTTATTATTTTAAATGATTTGTTTCAGTCTTTTTGAGTGGAACTTCCTCCATCTGGAAGTGCCTCCCATAATCTAAAATGCAGAAGGCTCATTAGGGAAAAGGTGGATATTCTGAAGGTTTTTAAAGGGTTTGTTTATTTATAATTCACCTGATTAATAGCATTTTATTCCTAATTGATGTAGTGGCCAATGTTTTCTTTCTGGCTGTTGACAGTATTTTGTGATTTATGAAGTGATAAAAATAGATCCCTTCTGTAAAACCCTTTAACTCTTGATATGTCAACAGAATGAACCAAAAGTTTTAATGTGGCTTGGTCCAATGTTAAGATTCTCTTCTAGAAAAGATCGTTCGCATATTTAAACATTTCAGAAACGTGTAGGCTACTGGGGAAGTATGGTGATATCTATTAGTGAACATTTTACCCTAGTTAACATTTTTACGTCTTGCCTTAAAATTCCTGATTTTCTGCTTGCATTATCACCTTCAAGAGAGCAAGGGAAGCATTCTTCTCTGTCAAGGCTACATTTCTCCTTTTCAGTTCCTCCGCCTCTTTCACATGATAATGCAGCGCCTCATTCAATCGTACGTTCTCCTTCAACACAGTATGTGATGCTGTTCCGAGCTGCCTGTTGGGAGCCAAAACTGATGATTTGACTCATATACACCAGTAAACACAAATCATACACATATGTGCTGGTCTTTTTTTATATGCAGTCTTTAAACAGAATTAGGATAATAAGTAACTGATCCATTCATGCAATTAAAAGAAGAATGGCTGCTCACACAATAGCTTCATGATGCGCTCGCTCTGCAAGCTCAGTGATCTTCTGCTCTGCTTCCTTCTCAAGGTGAATCTGTATAAAAAGACATTGCTGACTGTTCTAGCGTGCATTTTAGTGGCACAAGCATCTAAAACTCTATAACAAAAGGATTAAAAATCTGATGGTAAATAAATGCACTTTGCTACAATTTATGCAATATATTTCTATGCAGTATCTCTACTGTCTTGTTCATGGATGGATGGATGCTTTTTCTTACCCTTGCTGTGTAGAACTTGTACTCTGTTCTCGCCAGACTCTCTTGGTGTGCACGGTCAGCTATATACATTTTTTCTCTCATCTAAGCACAAGAAACACATAACACGCTATATGTCTGGAGTTTTTATGCATTGCTTTCAATATGAAATGGCAGTTTGTGTTGTGCAGTACACTGATCAGGTCTTCTTCCAGATTGGCCTTTATTTTGCGAAAATGCTTAATGGTTTTGAGCTCGCCCTGCATCCTCTGGAAGTCGCTAGACCTCTGCTTAAACCTCTCTTCTAACGCATCAATCTTCTGCATGTATTCAGCCACCTGCAACAGACAGTCAATTGAAACGAATGAGGGCTGAAATTCAGCAGAAGCTGTTATCATCCAAGGCTTGAATTTCAGAAAAAAAGGGCAAGAACTGACACCTACATCACAGAGACGTCTATTTGATGTGTGTGTTTACATCTGGAAGACGTATTTTTTAGAGTGTTTGCTCATCTGCAATACGTCTATAGGACGTTTCCTGTTAGTTGGCAAATACATTTAGAAGATGTCTTTAAGATGTTTATGATTTAGACTGTATGTAAAACTGACATCTTAAAGACGTCTATCAGATGTTAGTAAACAGCAGATGCTTTCCAGATGAAATGATCTTTAACAGACATCTTGCAGACGTATACGTGCGCTATCTAAAATTCAAGAATTGCTCCAGGCAGCTTGACATAGGCCAACCCCTAATTTGTGTGGAAAATAATAAACTCTTACCAAAAAGTCTTTCTCTTGTGAAGTTGTTGCTTTTTCTTTTTTCAGTTGCTCTTCTAATGCAGCAATCTTATAGGGAAAATAGTGGGAAATGAACAGCACAGATGGATAAACGTATGCTCGTTTCTCAGCCTTATGATGGAGATGAAACATAAATGCAGACAAACCATTGCTGTTTTTTCACGATCTGTCCTTTTCAGGAAAGCAATAATATCATCCGTGTCTTTTTTGGCACTGTACTGCTGGTTCTCGAGCTCCTCGTTGGCTTTGGCGAGCGCGCGAGTTGCTTCGCGATATTCGACACGCGAAAATTCTGTGATATCAAACTTCGCCTCCCATAAAGTTGCGTTTGATTTGAACTTTTCGATTTCTGACTCCCTGTCGGCTTTAGACTCCTGCTTGCCTTCTTTCTTACCTTTTCTGTAAATAAAGTGTAAACAAAAATGTGAGAAATCAAGTAAGGCAAAGCTGATTAAATCACCTGAAATGACATATCGTTCATTCTCACCCTTTTCCTTTGCCCTTATTTCCTTTCTTTTTCGGCATCTTTCGGTTCCTCAGACGACTATCAAATGACTTTGGACCTGCACTGGCTCATATTCGTTCTGTTTACATTCGTTTCTATAGAAACGGTCATCGAAGTCACTGCGTTGAATGAATTCGTTTTATGGGTTTGTTAGACACACGTTTTATTTTTGTCCTGATATAGTTGTTTTTGTAGTTTTGGTGTAATAAGTAAATCTTAAGATTTAATAAACAATAGACACAGCAGCTTTTCAATATCAAGTGGGCTATTTTTTTTAATAATAAAAAAAACATAACAGACTAACTTAGACAACGACATTTCCTAAAATACAAATAACGATTTTAAAAAAAGAACAAAAAAATGTACATAAATTCTAGTATGCCAAAACATTCGAGTGATTTACAAATGGAATATTCAATATATTGAAAGCACTTGTACGGCAGGTTTAGCTCTCAAATTCATGAAAACAACATCACTGACCTAAAAGAAAAGAAAAATATCATTTCTGATATTTAACAGGATGGGTTAACACTTTATTTTACAGTGTCCTTGTTACATGTTACATGTAGTTACTATAGTATTACATGCAACTAACCCTAAACCAATCCCTATTCCTAACCCTATAGTAAGTAGGCTACATGAAGTTAATTATCATAGTTCCAAACTTAAATGTAGGCCATTACATTGTAACATGTACATGGTACACTGTAACATGGATAACTTAAAATAAAGTGTAACCCAAAAGGGCATGTACATATTGGCATGTAACAAATGCAATGTGGATTTTCCACCATTATCTTTCACAAGCATTTCACGTGTTCACACTTACAAATAAGTCAGATAGAAAAAATGGTATACATATTTGGCGTGCCGTCCGAGTAGAGGGCTCCGGGCTCGGTATTTGGCCCGAACCCAGAGTACTCCTGGCTGTGAAAGGAACAAGCCGAGAGTGAGGTGTCGGGGTGGTGGAGGAAAAAACTGTCAAGGAATGTAGGTGAGTCGACTGAATGCCTTTATATGCTTCCTCTCATGCTGATGGGATAGTCATGATGATTGTAGATGACAAGTTAATTGAATTTGATTATTTGAACATGCTCCTCCCGAACTTTGTTTAGTGAAACATCATTTGTGTTTAGTATAAAATTTGTGTAGGCCTATAGGCAAATAACAAAAACAAAAAAGCTCACATAAAAAAAAAACTTCTCATGCCAGTTTTGCCTTCGGTCAGCATGTAGACTGGATTTGCTGAATCTAGGAGAAACAAACAGGTATAAGGGAGCTCATGAATAAGGCAAACTTGTTTTTGAGTAATTTGCTTCCCTCAGTCTCTTTGGGAATAGCAGTATTGATGTTATAATGTCCACTATAGTGTCAAGGATGTCACACGACAGGCCAAACATTTCCTGCTGGCTTTCCCTGCGTCTGAGAAGTTCTAGTTCATCTCCATCTCCTGGGCAGCTGATGATTTAAGAGGAACAGAATCAAAGCCATCTGACGTTCTCTGTAAAAGAAAATAATTTTATTAAGAAAATGTCTATATCTGTCTGGTAAAACTATTAAATATTATTGTAACATTAGAAAATGTATATTGTCATCAAGAATATCTATAGAGTGTGTGGTACATAGAAAAATGAAGTCTGTCTTGTGACCTCCTCACCTCTCTGGAATATGACTTGATCTTGGTGAAGAACGATTTTTTTGAGAGATAGATGAGGTCATCCTCTGCATCTTCTCCCTCCATGATGGCACAGCTATCTGCAGCTGGAAGTTCACACTCCTTATCTCCTGCCGTCATCATTAGCTTAGAGTACTTATACTGCAGCCTAAAGAGAGGGCATGAATACTCTTATACAGCTTATTCATGTGGATAGATCATGAATTCCTGATCAAAACCTAAAATTCTAGACACACTGGGTTTCAATATATATATATATATATATATATATATATATATATATATATATATATATATTAAAAGCTTTTACTTGGAATAACTACACAAATTTTATTATATTTTAATTATATTATAATACATATCTTCCTTAAGTTGGCATTACTAAAATAAAAGCTAGGCTTTATTTTATTTTAAAGTCGGCATAAAACTGAAGTTGCAAAATTATTTTCTTCCCGATTGTGATATACAGTTGTCATCAAAATTATTCATCCCCCACTGCAAAATCAGGTTTATAGGCAAAATTTACAGACGTTCAGCTGTTTGCAATGAACAAATCAAACAAAAGAAATTGAAATCACTCAACACAACAAAAGTTTCAAGTGATGTCCCCAAATTCAACTGAAAATGTAACTTTTAATGGCTTCCTCAGTTTCAAAATTATTCAACCCCTTCATGGCAAGCATCTTTAGTACTTAGTAGAACACCCTTTTGCTGTTATGACCGGATGAAAACGAGATGTATAACCAGACACCAGCTTCTGGCAGCGTTTCTGAGGAATCTTAGTGAACTATGCTTCCAGCGGTGTCTCTAGGAACATTTTTTGTATCCTGTTCCTTGTTTCTGAAGGGCGATGATATCTTCTCTTAACTTTTTGGACCATTCTTTTGACTTAGCCATATTTCTAACATGCAGTTAAACGTGACACTCAACAAACCTAGCCAGTTCAGCTATTTCATGTGTTCTAGCACAAGCTCACCTGGTGCAACTAATGAAGCCCTTGATTAGTTGCATCAGGTGGGCTTGAGACAACACCTGTTTTGCAGATGTGTGCTGTTGTGAAGGATTCTATTCGGGGGTTGAATAATTTTGAGACTGCAGAAGTCATTAAAAGTTGCATTTTCAGTTGATCTGTGGAAACCACTTGAAACATTTGTTGTGTTGAGCTATTCCAATTACTTTTGCTTGATTTGTTTTTTTTTTGCCAATTTTGCCAATAAACCTGATTTGTAATGGGGGTTGAATAATTTTGATTACAACTGTATATCCAAGTGAAATGGCTTCTCAAACAAGAAAAAAATTGAGGGCATGACTTGATTGGATGGTTAGATTATTGTGGTAAGTAAACATGTCATTATAGAAGACATAGGCCTGGTTTCACAGACAGGGCTTCGATTAAGCCAGGATTTGGCCTTTTATAAACTTGCCTTAGAAAAAACATTACTGGTGTGCATCTTGAGACAAAACAATGGCAGTGACATATCTTAAGATATGTCAGTGCAAGTTGCTTTCAATTAAAACAGCTCAACATGCATTTTTGTCTGTGAAACCGAGAGATGATGTTGCAAGAGGGAAGGGAATTCCCTCTTGCACTAATACGCTGCTTAGTTTTCCACTTTCTGTTATTGGACGTTAAAGTAACAGTTTTTGTTATAATTTTTAGACAATATTTCTTTGCATCCCTAAATAGATGTGTTTTACACCATGTTTATTTGCATATCTGCAAGACTTTATCAAATGCATCAGTTTTCTGAAAGATAATAAACTACATATCACGTTCAGTAATGGACTCTCACTTGCGTGTCCTTTTCCAGAAGTAGCAGATAAGTGTAATGAGCAATACGGCAGCCACAGTTCCAATGGAGACGCCAAATTTCAGCCAGAAGTCCAGTGTCACACAGGCACTAATCTGCTGAGACGGCAGCGACACCCCGCCTGTGCACCTCAGAGGTTGCTGCCACACATAGGTAGTCCTCTGAGAAACACAAACACATTTTAGCTACATTAAGTCAAAATATACAGGATTGTCCTACAACAGGGGTTCCCAATTCCAGTCCCTGTGCCTCTCCGCTCAGAACAGTTTTTATGGGTGCGTCTAAATCTGCTCCCTAGTTCAGTAGTCATCGCACTGACCAGGTGTCGCCATTTTAAGTGCAGTCTCAATCGCAAAATCCTTCCAGTAACCTGAAACGTTCGCTCCCTAAAAAAAATACCACAATGCACTGTGAGATCTTCTCAGTTCTCGCGCATGTGTCGTGGCGCTCTCGTGAACTCACGTCAGAGGCCCACACGGAAGAAAACGAATAGTTGAATGAAGTCGTTATTTCTGCACACAAAAAGTATTCTCGTCACTTGATAAACGTAAGGTTGAGCCACTGTAGTCACATGGACTATTTTAAAGACGTCTTTACTAACTTTCTGGACCGTCAAGATGAAATTACCTAGAAGCCTATGGAGGAGTGAGACAGCTCTCAGATTTAATCAAAAATATCTTAATTTGTGTTTCGAAGATGAACGAAAGCCTTACGGGGTTGGAACAACATGAGGGTGAGTAATTACTGACCGAATTTTCATTTTTGGGTGAACTAACCCTTAAATATGTCGTTTTATCTTATTTAACCCGTCATCATGATAGTTGACTTGTAATTGTCGCATCTCACGCAATTTACACCCGTGACACCTGCTTTTGATTAGGATCTTAAGATGACAAAATACCCTTTTAAGTCCACTTCGCAGCGCACTTACAGTTGAATGTAACCCACCCCTCAACTGAGCATGTCAGATAAGAGAGACATACAAAATGTACAGAACAGGGAGGCGTGAGGACTGGAATTGAGAACCCCTGTTCTACAATAAATGGTCCATTTCAGAGTGGGGGAAATTCTTTTTTTAATTCAGTTACTGTATCAGGATCAGTGTTGGGGGTAACTCATTACAAGTAACTTGAGTTACGTAATCAGATTACTTTTTCAAGTAACTAGTAAAGTAACGCATTACTTTTAAAATTTACAACAAAATATCTGAGTTACTTTTTCTAATAAGTAACGCAAGTTACTTTGTTTTCCCCTTTATTGACTGACTGCTTTTCTGTCCTAATGTTGAGACAAATCGAAGTGCAGAGGCGTTGTGTGTAAACATGATGGTTATTATAGTTCTAGATTAAACGTAAGCGTGGATTTACTCATCTTTGCAAACCTCCAATACCTAAATATGTTAAAGAAAACAAATTTTTATGCATTTAATCTTTATTGACCAAAGTACTTGCTTCTGACCTCCGATTTTTCAGTTAAACCATAAGCAAAAACGACTATAGATTTATTTATATGTTTTTATTGGTAAAGTAAGTGTTAAATTTGTTTCTCCTGCATCCTCTTCTTCTATTACC